GAGGGTTGGGCCGGGAGCTGGCTCAGGGATAGCTCAAAGGCACAAGTGCCTGCTTAGCAAGAACAAGGTCATGAATTTGATTCCTGGTACCAAAAAAATGACAACAGCTTTCACAAAATAATGGAAGCCACTAAGAAACTTGGGGTAAAAACCACATTCCCATCTCTTGATAGAAAAGACCACCTCACATGGACCCAAATTCATCAAATTGTACACTTGTAATATTTTTGTATTTAGTGTACATCAACTATAAATAATACTACAATAAGTAAATAGCCTCAGCCTCTTTGAGAAAAGGGTGAGGCCTGATACTCTGAGTTTACATCCAACAAATGTTCACTTAAGGAGCTGGCAAGGAAGTAATAATTCAGAGCTCAGGGCTATCTCTTATTGTTTTTCTTCTTGGGCCACAAAGTAGTTCTAAAACAACTTAATGATTCAGCCTGATCCAATATATGTTCAGCAAATTATATCACAGCAAACAGTCCAATACTTTATTTTTCTAATATGGCAACATTTAGTACTGAACTGAGCATTTTAGGGAAAGGGAGGCTCCTCAGAAAACACTTCAGGTCAAAAGCTGGAAATGGACATCCAGAGGTCAACTTCACAGCTGACCTATTACATGAAATTCCTTTGGGAGACCTGCTGGTAGAGGAGAGTGATAAATTACCCAATCTGTGATGCTTTGTTATAGCAGCCCAAAGCACTCACATATGATTCTTTCAAGGTATAACAGAAGCTGGATATATCACACATATGAAAAGGTTTCTTTTTTTTTTTTTTTTTTTTGAGATAGGGTCTTGCTATACCATTCAGGCTGGCCTGTAGCTCACTTTGTAGCCCAGGCTGGTCTCAAACTCACAACAATCCTCCTGTCTGTCTCCTGAGTGCTGGGATTGCAGAGATGTGTCACTGTGCCAGGCTTCAGAGTGCTTTTTTTAAACTGTAGAATCATCTTTCATTTTTACGACTCTATTTCATGACTGTACAATGAGAGTGATGCCTTACCAGCGCATGCTGACACAGACCCTGCCCATTTTCTACAGTCAGGGCTCTAAAGCCTGGTTCCCTGGGACAGGTCTGATTAAATGCAACAAAGTTATCCCAAGATAACTAAAATGACTTCAACATTTCACTCAAAGCACAGATTGAGACTTTTAAGAATTCACTTTCCACCATGTCCTTGTGTCATGTAGTAAGCTTTATACAGCTCTGCAAAAATCAAGACACTGATTCATACAAACGCTGCTAGTGACAATTCAAAATGTATTTATGTTTAATAATGTCCTATCCATTTATCCTCACTGAAAAAAGGCAACCAATGCACTCTGATAAACAGCTATTCTTATTTTATTAAAATAATTTAAGGGTCCATATTTCCAAAATAAGCAGAGGGTTTTGTTTTTTTTTTTTAAGGGGAGGATTTTTAAAAATATATTGGGTACAGAGTTTCACTACACTGCTCTGATTCCTAGTGGTCCTTCCTGTTTTCAGCATCCCCAGTGCTGTGACTACATGTATGTGCCACCATGCCCAATCTTGGTAGCTGGCTCAGTGAGTTCCGGGGACAAGGCTGGCGGGGCATGTGATGCCAGGGATAGAATCCCTGTCCCTGCACTTGCTTAAGCAGGTGCCTACTCCACTGATCTACCTCACCAGCCCATACAGGTGAGTTTTATTCAAGTGACATAATTACAGGCTTATGTTTTGTCTTTTTCTATCCTTGTCCATGTCTTTTATATTTTAAACAATGTGAGTTTTAGGATTAAAGTTACTAAAAGCTACTATTATTTTTTGATCACCAATAATAGATGAATGTAAAACAGTAAATGGTAAACAATCCCATTCTTATTTAAACTAGCAACATTAAATTGTCAACAAAGATTAAGGAGGTTTTTCCTTAAGATTGTGTGTGTGTGTGTGTGTGTGTGTGTGTGTACAGTTGATGTTTCTTTTTTTTCTTTCTTACATGTGTCCTTTCTCACTTTCCTCTTGTGCCTTTAATTTACAGCATCTTAAGACCTGGAGGCAAGTAGTTTAATAGAAAACAACCATGAGTATAGTTTTTGGAGATACACGTAAACATAAACAGAAGATAAACATTAGATTTGGCTAAAACAAACTCAACCACCAAAGGCAGACAGGAAGAAAAAATCATGTCAGAATTTCAGCCTCATTTTACTTTTTAAGCAACTCATTTGGACAGAATTGGAAGAATCACCCTGCTTTAATTTACCAAACATAATTTAAACATTTAAAATAATCTTTTTATTATTTGTAAAAACCTACATTTTCCATATTTTCCAAAACAGAAAAAAACTGCCAGAGTAAGGGCAGTTCTGCTTCATTCCCAAGCATCAAATCACAGCAAAGCTAGGTTGCCACAGCAGCCCGGCTGTGGCTGCTGCCCTTATCCTGAGCCAGCCCATCCTTTTGGCTCTCACCAGCCTATAGCCTAGGTAGCTCTACGGACTCCGTGAGGAGCTAGTGCTGTGGAGGAGTGCTTGCCTAGTATGCCTGAAGGCCTGGGTTCAATCCCCAGTGTTAAAAAAAAAAAAAAAAAAAAAAAAAAATGTTGTCATGGGCTGAACTGTGAGTCCACTCTTCTCCCAGAATTCTTACCAGTTCTAATCTAGTGTCTCTGAATGTGACAGCATTCAAAGACAGGGTCTCTAAAGAAGTAATTAGGGTTGAATGAGATTATAGCAGTGAGCCCTAATTCACTATGACTGGTTACTTCTGTAAGAAGTAGAGATCAGGACAGACACACACATTAGGAGACCAAGTGAAGACACAATGAAAATACCACCATCGACAAGCCAAGAAGAGATCTAGAAGCAAACCCCAGGGCTGGCCAGATCAACGGATTAAAGCACCTACTTAGGCAGACACAGGGATCAGGGTTTGATCCATGGTGTGACATGCTGGGTCCTACCCCCAGGGCACACTGAGATGGTGATAGAGACTGGGCTGGGCAGCCCATGCCTATAATCCCAGGGCTTGGGAGGCTGAAAACAGGAGAATCACAAGTCTGATCTGTGTAGTGAAACCCTATAGACCCTATACTAAATAAAAAAAAAATAAAAATAAATAAAAAAAAAAAAGATTTGAAGCAAACCCCGAAAGTTCCCTGTTTTAGACTTCAAGCCCCACTAACAGTGAGGAAATATATTTCTATTGCACGCCTCTCCACTCTGCAGTGCTGTATGGAGCAGCTCTGGGAAACAAAAATTAAAAACTGGCTGCTGTATTAACAAACACCTAAAAAAAATTGAAAGTGGTCTTGAAACTGGGTAACATTTCAGAACCTGGAAAAATTCTCAGTTATGTGGTAAAAAAAACTACAGTTGCCCTGAAGAGAGTACTGACTGGGAAAAGGGATGTTTGAGGTGATTCTGGTTAGGTCTCAGATAGAAAAGAGAAAACTGGAAAAGGAAACCAATGCTTAGCGTACACTTCACTGCTCTCTCACTTCCCTTCCTCCTTGTAACTTTTCCCTTGGGGACAAACCCTTATGCCATTTTAGAAAATAAAAACTGAAGCCTATCCTTGCTGGGCATGGGGACAAACCTGTGATCCTAGCACTCCTGCAGGCTGAGGCAGGAGGATGGCCAGATTAAGGCCAGGCTGGGTTACATAGTAAGTTCAAGGCTGGCCTGAACTACATAGTAAAACACTGCCTCAAAAATTAAAAAATTGAAAAAAAGTAAGAAAACAAGGAAAAGGCTATCCTAGTTCCTGCCACTCGCCCACTCTGCAGACTCTTCCCCAAGACCATGTCCATTTCTTAAGGTCAAACTACTGACTTAAACTGTATTTCCTATCTGGAGTGGGGACACTTTCATATTCTTCCTCTGACCTAAAACAGAAGCCCTTTCTGTTTCTTGCTGAAAACAGCAGTAAGGCCAGCAAGTGATGCTACGCTGAACTACTTTCTTAGAATACCTGTATGCTGGGCATGAGGGCTACAAAGTGACCTCAAGGCCAACCTGAACTGTACAGCAAGACCCTGTCTCAAAAAGACAAAAATAAAAAAATAAATAAAAAGCAAGACTACCTATAAATTTTACATGAAAAATCTTTCTAATCTTTCCCTATGTGTCTGTTTTCCCAATAAGCAAAACTTGAGACAAGCATCTTATGTTTATTTTGTGGTCCTGCCACTAAGTCAAATGCAACATACTTCCTAATCCATTTACTACTATCTATTAAATAACTCCTTCAGCCCTCTTTGGAAATATCTCACAGAAAGGCAAAAGATTACTCAACATTAATATTATATAGAAGCATATTATTTTTAGCCATACATTACCCCACTAAAAAATGGAACCCCACTAAAATTAATCACGACACATAAATTTTACCATACCAAACCTCATATACACAGTATATGTAAATGTTCTCCTATACATAATGCTAAAAAGAGAAATAATACTTTCACTATAAATATGAAGTTCATAACCTATGAAACCACTTATGCCCAATAAAATCCTACGTTAGGCTAAATGTCTCTTTTCAAAACTGCATATCACTGGGAAAAACAGCATCGCTCACATGCACCATGAAGAGTCCTGGACGCACTGCGCAGTGACTGTTTCCTCGCTTTAACGTGCAAGCGCTCACTCTCTGGCAGATGTGCTGTTTGCCCCAGGGCTACTCAGGGGCATATGCAGTCCAGTAAGAAAGCTCTGCCTCAGAACATCTGATGACATCCGAGTATGTTGGACATACTATACAAAATGGAGCTAATCTGCAACTCAACTGAGATTCAGGTTCATGTTTGCCAGATTTGGGACATAATCTTGAGCAACTAAATAATTGATCTCTACCTCAGGGCAGTACCTTCCAAGCAATTCCCTGCTCCTTGCTAGCATCTAAGTCCCAATCTCAGCCTAGAGGACAGGCCCACTTCTTTCTCACTCTGTAAAGTAGAGCTCCCTTCCCATCAGCTAAATGCTGAAGCTCCAGCTGGGGCCACTGACTCAATGCAAAATTACATTTCAAAGGTTTCCTGGACTCTCTACGCACCTTTAACTTGCGGAGATGTACACAAAGAACTCTCCAGACAGCTTTCACTCTTTCACATTACACCTCCATATAAAAGGTATCTAAATCCAAACACATCTTTAAAGGTCAAACAGCAATTCCATGTCAAATGTGACCAATCTTAGACCCCACCCATGAGCCAAGGGGCCCTGGGTTGTCAGTAATGAAACCCCACAAGATCCTGCTTTTAACATTAAGAAATGCTGGGCTGGGAAGATAGCTCAGTAGTATAAGTGCTTCCCTGGCAAGTGCAAGGTTGGGAGGGGGAATTAAAGAATGCTTAGTGGAACTTTTCATGACTCCATCACACTGCGCTTAAACATCAATTGCAGAGACAACCACCGAATGCAGTGTAGAAGAGGGCCCAGCGCAGTGCCAACTCCATCTCCTGATCCTGCCACACACAGCTGAGAGGAAATCTATCTGTATCAGACTTTACTTTTTTAATGTATTTAGTACAGGGTCTACCGGGTCTCACAGGATCTGTGGATTGGACTCGTAGTGATCCTCTCGTTTTCCACCTTCCAAGCGCTAGGATTACAGGTGTGCGCCACCTCACCTCATCCAGTCAACCACCATCTCAGCAGGCCCCGGTGGCAGGGCTGGCACAGCTTCTGGTGCAGGGGATCAAACCCCGATCCTTGAGTCTGCCTAAGCAGGCGCTTTAGTCCGGTGAGCTATGTGGCTGGCCCACTGTATCAGACTTTAAGTATCCTTGTGCAACTTGGCAGATAACTCAGTGATTAAAATTAATAGTGCTTCCACCTATTTACATGTCTGTCTGTGAAGACATTCAGTTATTGAGCAGACATGTTAGTTTTCTTAAAGCTTCCTGTTAAGACTTTTTAATGTCATGATAAGAATATTTAAGAACAAAGTGGTGTTACATAAAATATATTGCACGTTTTCTATGTGGCCTACAATGACTCCTCTTCTTTCAGTGTGGAGCATGTAAACCACAAAGCTGGCCACTTGTGGTCGTAAGTGACAGGAATTTGGAACGCTAAGCTCTCTCCTGCTCCAAACCACAACTATCTGCCTTCAGTAATCAAAGGAAGGAAGGAAGGAGTGTGGCGGGAGCAAGAAGTAAAAACCAAAGGAAAGGGAAGGTGAAAGGGGCCAAGGAAGAAAGCGAACACCTATAAGGGACTCAGCAGACACCACCTACTGCAGTAGGATGCTGAGCATAATCTTCACCAGTTTTGTGTTCAACAAAAGAGACAGGACAAGAAAGCTACCTGTGCAAGAGTTTGGATGCGCTCAAAACTAACTAAACCTAAGTGCCACACAGGGCACGGGGACGGGCACTTATTCAGGGCTCTGGATTATATTAGAAGTCCAAGTCAAATACAAGTTTTAAGCGCGATTGTGTCTCTCAATTCTAGTAGGCAGATAGGTACACTAACAAAACTGTAGGTGATTCGGCCCCTACGCAAAGCTCCCTGGAACGCAGCTAGAGCCCAATCAACCTGTGAAATCTTCGTCCCGCGCAGCCAGGCCTGCCCCGCTGTTTCCCGCAAGGTCTGGGGAAACGCACAGGCTGTCCACAGCGGCAGGACCAGGCGGGCTCCGGCCGCCTCCCCCGCTGCCTCCGGACCTTAAGGCAACCTGAGGCGGCTTCCCTCGCAGGCTGCGCGAGTCACCACAGACCCCTTCTCCGGTGACACGGGGAAACACGAGCCCTCACCCCCGCGCGCGCTCCCGGCCGGCGCGGCGGCCTCCCCACCGCGCGGCGCCCCTCCGCCGCAGCCC